TTCTTTAGTAGCATTCATAAGCTCATAAAATACGCATTTTCAAAATGGTTGGACAATTTGAATATTGAGTGTACATAATGGTTACTACTCAACTCATCTCTGGAGAAAATTCGTTGCCGTTATAACAGTCGTTTTTCGAACAGATTGTGAATTTAATGTAATCAACAATACACTTATGATGCAAACTTTCATGTTTTGTTGAATTTTTCAAGTGATCGTCTATTATTTGAAATCTCTGAGTATATATTTTATTATTTTCAGAGACTTTCCTAATCATAAAAATAACTATACATTTCCTTTAAATTCAATAATTTGCCAAATGATATATTTATAATATATTCGCTGATAATGACCTTGATTTCGTATTTATTCGTCTGATTAGCGTGTCGCAGACATCCTTGCGACAATTCAATCTAATGTTTTACGCATTACATAACGCATTGTAAAAATCCCATATAATAGTAATACATACATAATAGACTAGAAGTTTTATTTGAAAAATTATCATTAATATTTGTAAAACACTGATTTTTGGAAATAATAATCATTTGTTACGAAATAAATTTAAATATGAAAATTATAACTGCCTTAGCTATGCATTACCTTCGTTGAACTGCTTCTAAATAGAGATGAGAGTTTATGCAGCGGCTACAAAAATAAAGTGTGCATGTATGTATTTATATGTACTCGTATGTGGCCAAATGCATCTGCTTATTTTGTTGCAACCAATTCATTACTAATGATATATATTAATGAGCAACAAATTATATTACATGCATTTGTTGAGAAAAACTAGAATAAGTGGTGTATGGCATTGTGCCTTGACACAAATTGCTGAACTTCTAGTACCGTAATTTAAGATCTTCAAATGCTTTAAATTTTTTTTTAAATTAATTTTTTTTTATTCAAAACAATCGTGCTGTTTAGAGACGAAATATAAAAGCTCGTAAAGTCGTAAGCTGCGCAGCATCGCAGTGTATCAGTTTAACCCTTTCCACTCGCGAATTCCGGAATTTATATGTATTTTGCCGCGGCGGCATCCGAGTCGAAAGGATTAACATTATAAATTTTAGTTTGAAACCGTTAGAAATGTGAACAAATTTTGTACTTAATATTAAAATCTCTGTAAAATATCTTATAATTTGATATTCATATGTTTAATCATTTTTGACCGCCAAATGGCATTTTTTAAACTTTTTTTTTATTGGATCTCTTGGCGCGGCACCTTTTGCCCAGTATCTTCAAAACGGCTGAAAAATTGTATACAAACATACACACGCACACACTTAAATTTTTTTCTACGGTATGCCAAAATGTTGAAGGTTTTGAATCGTAAAGATAAAAAAAATTGTTTCCGTTTTTTTGCGATTACTTAAACTTACCCTACGGAAGGTTAAAAACGTAAGTAGCCGGCCTTTCCCCATATTTGCGAAATACAACGTATTTTCATTATTTATATGCTCATTTTTTTTAATAAGATTATTGACTATTACTAATTTTTTATTTTGAACTACTGATGAAATTGAAATTTGGCAGTATTTGCTCACCTAATTCATGAATGTTTATGCAGATCGTAATTTTGGATTTGTATGGAACTTTGGAAAACGTTTGTAAGTAAGCTCTAAAAAAACAGAAATTTTATTTGATAATTATGCATAGTACGATCTGAATTAAAATTTTCATTATAAGTGGTTTGTTAGCTGTGAAAGGAAATAAACCTTCGGAATATTTTTAAATCAAAACGTTAATAAACTGCTAATTCATATGGTAGTAGTTCAGCCTATTCGTGTATTATCCATTCATACGTTATAATAAGCCACTAATTCCATTACGTGATGTCATCAATCTTTGACTTGTGCTGCCGAATCGTTGCGACCTTGAGTTGAAATATTCGGACAATGAATGTGGAACGGTCGCCGACATCGGCCTTCCGCAGATTCTCAATATAAAATTACGAATTTGAAAACATCATCATTATTATAATTATTATAACTTCAGCGATTTATTGAAATCGTGATTGGCAAATTAGTTTTGAATCCAATTTTCTACGTTTTCTGTACTTTTTTAAATTTGTGTTTTCAATGTCATAACAATAGAACTATTTACTCAGATATTTCACATGATACATATTACATTATTTTTAATAGTTATAATACATTTTTTCAATTGTTTAGCTATGAAAAAAATATTTTATGTACTTTTACATAATGAATTTGTCACTTGCGCTCAAAACATAAATTGAACTTTGCATAATTAGTGTAAAGCGCTTCTCTGATATATTCTAATCCCCCATACCAATTTTTATTTGTCGCATAACATCGCCCATTTAACGATTTGATAATCTTAAATGGTTTCATCCAATCTATATGTAATTACTGATTATTATTTCATAATTCTATGCCATCTAAGAATCTAAATAATTAACGTTGAAGGTTGAAAATGTGAAAATTGCAAACGAAATGAAGTGGAAATATTACCGTTGCTTTATCGTTCAAGCGCTGCTTATATTGCGCATTTAAACGTTTTATTGCTAATGTGGTCAGCTAATAGCGATTATTGCGATTAAAATTTATATACTCAATAATAAATTCAATAGGTTTTGTTAATTGTTAACACAAATATTTTCAAACTTAAACAAAGAATAATTTATTTTTTTTATAATTTTTATTATTTTAATTAAATTATCGGTGTTTGTATATTATTTATAAAATCATATATTGTAAGATTTACTTTTCTCAATTTTTAAATTGAGAACAGCAACAATTTGGCGGTCGTATGACCCGAACGGAAAGTTTTCATTGCTCATATCCTACTAAGCAGGCCTGCTCGCATTATATGAGGTCTCGGTTGTAAAGCAAATTGATTCGATGATGTAGATTTCAAGAGTAAGTGTTGTTAATGACAGAAATGATTTCATTTTGAAATTAAATATTTATTCTAAATTACATTATCTATTTATAAGTATAGAACTTATAATTAGATTGGAAAATAGGTAAATTTCAATCAGATTGAAGTAATTATGAGATTACAACATTAACACTACCCTTGAATTTATCATACTTTGATTCACAGATTTGCAAACTTACGATTTGATTTAAAATTTAAAATTTTCATTTTATTAAAATGTTCAATAAGGTGCGACTCGTAATATTGGTTACGGTTTTGTGTATTTTAACTACGTACGTTTCTTATTGCTATAAAAATTGTTGTTAAATCATTAATGCATTGAAGGACAATGGATTCAATTTATTGAATATTTCAATATGTTAATAATAAAATTACAATCATAATGTGGCAAAGAATTTGATTTATTTTTCAAATAATTTATTTTACCACGTTCTGTGTGAAAATTGAACATTAACATGTATCTACTTTGATTTATTGTTCGTTCATTGATAATCAAACCTTACAATTCTAACAATGAAAATAATTTATTTATGACGATTGTTTTTCAAACAAAAGCTGCCAATCTGATGTGTTATTTAGTAATTCAAACAATTGTGGTTCCTACTTCACAAATAAGAAAAGTCTGAATTGCATAAATCTTTTTGTGGCAAGTAAAGGAAATCAGATACTCAAATATACCACGTCTGATTTAATAAATCTTGTAATGAAGACGCCAGTCATCGTAGTTCATAGGCATTGTTCTCTTTATTTTAATTTAATGTTCTATGTGGTTTGAGCAATACTCGTTAGTTAAACTTCAGTAGTGTCCTACAATTAGAATTATTTGTTGGAAATTTATTTAGCATCCACCACCTCCACGAAATAGCATCAGAAATATTCCTCACGAACCTTCATAATCATCGTAGTTCAGGCGCAATTGATTCGAACGCTTCAACATACATTCATTAGTTTCATCAAATAAATGGATCTTCCAAATTGTTAGCAACTTAAATTGAATCTATTTAGCAAAGGTTTTATTTATTACTTCATGTTGTCACCGATACGAGAAACATGAATTACTTACTCAAAATGTAATCAAAACAATTATTTTTTGTAGAACAGAAATCAGAACTTAAATAGCTAGCCAAAGGGTTATTTTATCTTTATGTGATAAATTTATTATTATAATTTCTGTAATATGGTAGATGTTTTATTGATGCAACAATGCAAGGGCAAGGGCTATTTCACTTGGAAACATGATGCTGTCTATATTTCTAAGTAAAATTCAATGTCACCACTGCTTGACATCAGGTTGTCCGGGAAGGTTATCGAACCTAGAGCTTTTGAATCAAATCTTATAGCTCTCGCCACTGATCCACGGGGAGCGAGAAAAAAACAGTACACCATCGAAAACCAGAACTTTTATCTTGCCAGTGACTGTAGAATGTTGTAGAAATATTGTAAGATACATACTCTACGTAAATTTATTTCAAGAAATTTACGTAATCTTTCTTCAAATTTTTAACTTCTCAGTTGATATTACTTGCTTAAAAAATTCTCTCAACGAAAATCGTATATTTTTTACATATTGACAATAGTTGTCGACAATCGCGTTATTTATTTGTCAAATAATTCGAGTGAAATCATAAGGGTATTATAATTCGAATTATCGACGTATTAAGTACTACAGCCACTTCAAGATTATTAACTTTAACTAATAACGTGTGAGTTAATGTTTGACGTAAAGTTCAGCTGAAATTTTTGTACACGCACACACATTTATTTTCAAGTTTAATTATTTAATTAAACTTCTTAATTATTTGGTTAATTATTATCAGAAGGCATGGTGTTTATTGGTCAATTAGATTGCACTTAAAATATCAATAATTGGTCGTTTTCTCTAAAAAAATGTAAATAATTTAGAATTAGTTTTATACATTTAACTACTTCTATTTAGATCGGCTTATTCAATTTTAATTTGCTCTATTTTTATAGTTTTATAATGTTTGAGAATTAAATATTGTAAATATTATAAATTCAATAGCTCTTTATGCTATAATTTTCTAAATTCAATGTTGGACATATTCAAATAATTATGAAATTGGTTGACGCAGTTAATGAAATTTGGCCGAACAATATTGGGTGACTACCTATTTACTTTGCTCATGAAAGCCACATTCTACGGACATTTCGTAGGTGGTGAAGATTTAGACAAAGTACAAGACACTTTGAAAAGGTAAAGACAGTAGAAAATCTTCAAAAATTATTTATTTATAATAATATTATGTCACATGCAAAAACACAAAAAATTGGCATCTCCATTGTGAACACATGCTGAACTGTGCGTCTGTCGTATGACTAACTTACTGAAAAATTATATATATATATATATATATATATATATATATATATTGTATATATAAACTTTTATAATAAATATGTATATGTATGTTTTCCAGCTGATTCATAAAGAATAGAAATGTTTTAAAACTTATAATTCAGCCTCTCTTAAGTATTAATAATTTAAATTTAAATACAAATTCAGAATTAAATACAATTAATTTTCTGCAAACATCTATAGTATATATTTTTTTGGCTCTCTGGTAAATCAATCTGCGCTTGACATTAATTTTGCGGTGCTTTGTCTTGAATTTACTTTTCATGTAATTACACATGACGACTATAAGTATCTTAAGTAAACATAAATATGGAATTAAACCGATTGCGAATATTTTATAATTATTCGATTTATTTTCATAAATTTGAATAAATATATTGAGAAAAAATTGCCGCTAAATTAGATCTGAGTTCACTTTTGTTCTTTGCGTATTATGCCTACGTTGGCAGAAAGTTGATACTATGTTAAAATAAACTTTGCATATTTTCCACATCGTTAAAGTTACTTTACATTCGTTTTATAAAGATAATGGAAAATATATTTAAAAAGAAAATATGTTTATTTTAAGTATTAATTAATCTTCAACATTGTCGGACATGTGCAAATACGTAATCATCAGGTAATATATGGAAACATTTTGAACGCTTTAGCAATTTTTATATTATTATTTAAAAATTGAGAAATGTCAGTTTTAGTTTATAATTCAAATAATCCAAAAAGGATTACAAAAACATTGTATTTAATAGCGTTTTCTTTATAAGCAATACTTCAGGTTTACCAAAATAGTTTGTATCTCCGTACGTTCTTGAGAACGTTTGAATAATATGATACAAAATGTTCCCTGGGTTAAGCTTGTGCTTAAAAAATCTAATACGATTTGACGTTTCCATCTGATATTTATATGTAAGTATGATTAAATATACGGCATTTTTATTATTGCTTTTGGGTGGCAGCTAATGAAAATATCCAAGGCGATCTTAGGCGAGAAGCTGTTCACAGCCATAATGAAGCTCTCGTTCTATGGCCATTTCGTCGCCGGAGAAGACAGATATAAGATTGTCCCAACTCTCGAGAGGTACCACATTGTCCTTGAAACACAACCCATTAAAAAGCGATTATGCTAGATTATTAACATGTTCCTAAATACGAGTTGCTGATTTTAACCTATTGCGATTTTCTAATCTATTCCCACCCTTTGATCGGTTCGTTTGTTGCATTGCCTGATTTCATTTGATTGTTTTGTGTCTTTTTAATTAGATAAGTTTTGTTTGATGAAACAATGGTGACCAGATTAATTATTGAAGATTAATTGCAGGCTTTACTTATATAATAAGTATTAAATAATATTATTACATAACAAATTTTACATGCTAATAAATTTTATCTTTTCAAAACGCTTTTCGCTGCTCTAATGAATGAAAATATAATACTGATAACCATGGTTGTAATAGGTTTTATTGTTGCTAATATTTGGCTTTATCAAATACGTGCTACAAGTCATAAATTAAAATTGTTTATATATTTCAATTATTCAAAATGAATCGATAAATTTTAACCAATGATTATACGTACATTGGTACCATATGAAAGTTTTAGTCGACAATATCTTTATCGGCCTGTTTAACTACAATTGTTTCATAGTAGCTTGTGAAAGCAATATTGTTGAAAATCCATTGTTTCTGAAAATCAAATGCAATTCAGTTTTTGATTTTGACTATTGTGCTGCAGCATATGATTTCATTACTGCATAAATAACACATACATATTACTGTTCCACATAAACAATTTTCAACATTTTAATAATTAGTAAATCTAATTGGTCAAACTTTCGGAATGGTGATTTGCTATAACTGCACTCACATTCATATTCAAATATAATAGCATGATGAACATATTTTAATTCACTATCCGTCGAAGAAGTGTTGTGCAAATTTGATCAATATGAATATTTTAAAGTTTTAAGAACTGTTGATGTCTTATTGCTCGTGTTCCACCCATTTTATACTAATGATACCTGACGTCTTTCAACAAATTATAATTACTTATAGTGATATCTGTAATTTTTTATGGATACTAGGGCTATAAATTAACTACATATAAAATATGCGAGTAATGGTTTGAATTGAATGTTTTGCAAGTTTGACGTTCTGCATACTTCTAAATATATTTTATTTTACAAACTAGTAAAACAATACAAGATATCACTTATGTTTTGGGTAACATTATTTTAGACGTTAATTATGATTTTTGCCAATATGTATTATGATTTTCTTTTAAAGTCAAGAATAATCTGTTACGTTAATTTGCATATTTTGAATATAACAAATATGCGGGACGTATAAATATATATTTTTTGTTCGTCGTGAATATCTTAAGCTCAACTTAACGCATAAGCTCATCTCACATGCGACTAACGTGTTTGGCTGTGTTCACAATTTCCATTTATTACAGGTTTCTGGTAATTATCAACATGCATTTTTATTAAATTTTATTCAGCATTTGACTATACTAACTACTAATTTGATCCGGCATGCTTGATTATTAATCCAGAATCCTTATTACATTAGACTAATCAATGTTATATACATATATATATATATATATATATATATATATATATATATACAGGGCCGGTCCTGCCTTGCATGCGATGCATGCAAAAAATGCGGGCGCAAGCCTTAGGGGGCGCCAAAACGACTTTCGGAAATTAAATTTATAATATAATATTTATGTTTTTTTATATAAAATCAAGAATTATTTATTTAAAATCTAAAATACTTAATAAATTATAATAAATAATTTAACTTAACTAGGGATACGGAGACACAAAAAGCATATTTATTTTGCAATGTGATATCAGTAGATACAATTAACCGATTAATAATTCTGCAAATTAGTAAATAACAGTTCTGTTTATTGCTTAATCTACTTATTCAATTTTTTCTTTGTTTGAAGTTACCGTGGAATCAAAAAAGAAATTATCTAGTGTTCAATCCCATAAGCGCAAACCTGCGAAAGATTAAATTAATTGTTGAGCATTATTGACGAAAAATTGTGAGCTGATTTAGTTGAATCGGAACTTGTTAAAAATATAAACAAATTATAAAAAATGGGGAGTCAGTGCTTAGAAAATGACTTGTTTATTTCGAAAAATTGAATTGTAACTTTTGCTTTTGTTGCAAATGTTTCGAATCTGTTGAACTTTGAATGTTGAAGACATGCGTGAAACAAATATGAAAAATGGAAGCAAAATTTACTTTGTAACGAAAATCTTAAGCTTGTTTTATACCGAGTGATTTCCATACTAATTTAATAATTATTAACTATACAGAAATAATACATATCAAATATAATAAGTTTTTTTTTCAATATTGTTCAAGAAATATGTAATTTCTTTGCATTTTCTACTGATTTTTGAACAATACTTTTTAAATACGTTAAATTTTTAACTTTAAAACAACAACCTGATACTCTGAATATGACGGCTCTTTAATATCAATAAGGAGAAGTTTGGATATTGTAAATAATGAAAAATTAAATTAAATTAAAATTTAAAAAATCCAACATGAAATATGAGTGTTATGTTTGAAAATGAAATGCTATTTTTTTAGATATTAATATTGCACATACGTTAAGAATAATTTAAAATTTCAAAATACTTGATTATAATCAACCAGCACTAAATCCAGAATAATTAAAAATTAATTTATTTATTTCACTTAATATTTTTGTTAAATTAAAGTTATAGAATTTAAGAAATGCATTTCAGAAATAGTATTTATTATTTTGATATCAAGATCTTCATATCAAAATAATAAATACTATTTCTGAAATGCATTTCTTAAATTCTATAACTTTAATCTAACAAAAATATTAATTCTTTTGCTATGGTAGTCGAACTTACATCCTTAACCAATTTACTACACATTGAATATTACTAAAATGTGAAATTATGACATGGATTGTTTTATTTATTGATATCGATAATAATAAATAAATTTAAAATCAATATATTTTATACCCTTCTAGATTATATCTAATTTTTTGTGTACTAAATCCAAAATAATTAAAAAATATTTTTTAAAAAATATGTAAATATTAATATAATTTTAATGATAAACTGTTAAAACGGTGAAAATTAATAGGGGGGGGGCGCTAGAAACAAAGTTGCATGCGGGCGCTAAGGACCCCAGGACCGGCCCTGTATATATATATATATATATATATATATATATATATAAACTTACCTATTTTAGTTAATATATTGTCTTGAAAGAACTGGTTTGAATGCTTATTGTTATAGTTGGTAGTATTAACATTTTATGCAGGGCAATGCGTGATTATTATATTCTGATAATTTTAAATATTAAAAAGTAAATATCATACAGCAATATTTTTGCAATAATCTACCCAAATGTCAATAATTTTCTAGTTATTGAACTCGAATCAATTTGAAATTGGGAGTTTAGTCTTTAGAATAAATAACTTTAGTTTTGTAGTATTTGCTGTTTCTATTTTAATTATATTCACTTTTTCATTCTGTAGCAACATTTTAGTTTTTAACGTAAAATTGAAATTTTGAAGGCATGGTTTTCTGCTATCAACTTTACACACACTTGCATGCATATATAAGTATATGTTTGTATATGTATATATATATATATATATATATATATATATATATTTTATACTATTTTTTTTAGTAAACATTTAATAATCTTTTATGAGGCAACATTTATTAAAAGCATCTCCTTTTTGTTTCAAAATTAACTACTAATTTTTATTTTTACTAAGCATTGTATCTATTGTGCACATATTTAACATTTATGATCAATAACATGTTTTGAGTGCAAAAATTTATATCTGGAGTACATGCATGCTTGATACCGATGAATGAGTAATAAAATGGAAGAGGAACCTTATAAAATTTGCGTAAAATGTGTAATTTCCATCTGATGACAGTTGATTTTTCAGATCCTAACGGACCGAATGGAACCTTTCATGATGTGAAAAGTGTTCTCTGTAAGTTTTTCATTAAAACTATAGTTTTTATCTATTTCTATACCCACCTACTTTTAATTATTTAATGTAATATATTGATTTCCAACATTCCACTAACGAAAACGCTAAAATCCCATTAACCTTTTGGCACATCATCGCATTGAAAATGAAATATGCACTATATTTTGATCGTTACTATAAATGAGAACCAAATTTAATTAATAAATAAGCAATTTGAAAGCGATATTCTAGAACGTTCAGAAATTATTTTGGAATACTTCGCTTTTAATCATTTTAATAGTGAATATGTTCCAATATTTTTCTGGACATTGTTTTTTGTAGGTATGTATGGTATTTTAATTACATGATAATATTATGTACGCTAATATTTGTCAGTAAACATTTGAAAATACGACGGTAATAATTCGTATTTTTGTTAAATTCAGGACGTATTAATTTGTTTTCTGCAATCTTATGGCACAAATGCATTCTCGATCAGATGAACTGCCAAAATTGAAATGGCGATGCGTGTTCTAATTCATCCTGAGGAAAATTATTAAAAAATGAGAGTATAATTTTTGAAACTCATATTTTCTCGATACATTATATAATCTAAAATAGATCAATAAACTCAGTAAATTTTTAGTTTTTCGAATGTTCTGTTGTGCTTTTATTTTTATTGTGCACTTAAAAATATATTAAATATAATTTGAAATTAATATTTTATAAAGTGAATTTTATCGTTAAATTTCTAGGTTCTATAGTTATTACATGCATAATGATTTATTAATTTTATAAGTGCGGCTTGACATTGATATTTTGACGGAGGTTTATCAACATTTTTGCAATTATTTTTTATGCCGGAAAATAATGATTAATATACAAGTCCGTGCAGAACCTTATATATAAAATAATTTTGACATATGTATATGTGTGTGTGAATATATGTTAATGTATATGTGTATATACATATGATTGTGCGTGTATTTGAACTTATTTTTTTCATTTCGCATTTTTTAGTTTAAATAATTATTTTTTAGTTTCAATAACGTGGCATTTGTCAGATCTGTAGATTATGTAATCCATTTCAAAAGATCAATTGAAAAGAATATCAATTTGCACTAAATGGTATGAATAATAATTTCCTCACTTGATGAAAATAGAATATATTTGATTTGAATTTAATAAAATCGCGTATCGTTCCTCTGTCACTTACGTTACTCATTCAACGCGGATTATGGCTACGGCTGTGTGTATCTCAACAACGTAGTGGCACTTGTATTGACCTGATGTTTCGTGCAGACTGCGATCGTTCGGTGTCAAGCCAATCCTTGATTACTCCGTTGAAGAAGATCTCACCCAGGAGGAGGCGGAGAAGCGTGAAGTCGAGTAAGTGATTTTTTAGTTTAAACTAAATAATAGATAAAGATACGATAATAGATAAATGTAGAATAATGCTATGTATTGTTTTTATTAACTTCCCGTATGGTAAGCTATAGTAATCGCAAAACAATCGAAAATGAAAATTTTTACATACAGTAGAACCTCGATTATCCGGATCTCGGTTATACGGATTCGCGATTATCCGGACTACCAACCGCGACTAATTTATATGCATGTACATACTTACAATTCGAATTTTTGCACAATTAATAATAATGTACATACATACATAACGAAGTTTCAATTTCTTAATAAACATTATTTTCGTTGATATCTATGTATGCATTTGTTATTTTTAATAAACACACAACATTATTCTTCATACCTTTGATTATCCGGATTTTTGATTATTCGGTTGCCTATCGACAACAATTAGTAGGGTTAATCGAGGTTCTACTGTATCTTATTATAAAAAGCGGGTTGTATGTGTGTATGACACACTCATAAATGTTCGGATACAAATTTTCGTCCACGATTTTTGATTAAATTTTTGGGAAGGCAGATCCAGCAGTTTCGAAGATCCGATAGGAAAAGTTAAAAAAAAATTCCATTTGGCGGCCAAAAATGATAATTAAACATATGCACATCAAATTATCAGATATTTTATAGAGATCTCCATAATTTGACCGTTACGCGGTACTACGATTTGATATTTGGTCACTAAAAGAGCTACGCAGCGCGGTCGCTTTGAGAAAAATTCAATCAAATATTGTAATAAAAATTTCAAATATTGTAAAAAAAACAATTTTTCCAAAATTTAAGAGGGGAGCTTTAGAAAGCTTCGAAAAATGGCTTTTTTGAGGACGGTTTAGAGAAGGAAATAAATATTTAATTGACGAAACTTCCAGGTTTTATTGATACATATTTCAACATTCATCTCAAATTTCTTCATTGAAATATATGTCAAATATGCCGGGTATAAGCATTTTGCCGATACGCCACGAGCGGGCAGATGTCATTTGGCGGGAAAGATGCAGGTCACAATTTCCATCCGAAACAAAAAAAATTAAAACAAATATATATTCTCAGTAATATAGATTCTAGTTGAACTTAAAAATTCCAGAAAAAAGAGAAATTTACCAATTTTTTGCAACTTGAAAGAAAATCAAGTTCTTGATAAAATTTCACTTTAGATTCTTTAAAAAGTGGGTTAACTATAACTTTTTTAAAAGTTTTCTATGTTTAACTAAAATAGAATTTAATCCTGAATTTAATGAATTTTGTCTCGTTTTGATAGGACGTTTAGTTTTTTCCTATATTACCCACCAATTAGGAAGAATCGAAAAAAATAAAAACCGAGAAATCGCGCATCGAAGTTTTCGTTCCGCTCGTATATATGCTTGACGCTTTCCCACTATTTCTCCTATAATTCCGAAAATAATTTTAATTTGTGCTGAAATTTTATGGATAATATATCTTGGCTAATTTTGGAAGACACTTTTGCAAAAAAAAAAAGATTATTTTAAGTCTCTAATGCAGACTTACCCCTTCAAGTTTTTAAAAATTTTAAATTACTATACGGGAAGTTTCAGCAATTTCCCTTAAGGCAGGATGCCCTGCACCACTAGTTCTTATATACATTTCGAATATTTATATATTCGTATGGAAATTGCAAAAGCTCATTCAATTTTACTTTTGTATCTATTAGGTCATCGCGATCTACCCAAGGCTCTGCTCCCACAGCTCCCGAACCTGGCAATAAATCCATGCCCCAGTACCAGGTCGACAAGACGTTCGCGGACCGGCGATACAAAGTGCAGAGCGCTAGAACTTACTTCTACTTGAACGAAGCTACTTGCGAAAGGAATATGGAAACATTCATTCAATGCCTGGAAGCCGTCTCAGGTGGGTGATATATTACTAGATTTCATGATTTTATAGGATTTCGGTCTTTATTTTTGAAAAGTCGGGTATTCATAATCGTTTCCTATGATTTTTTTTTTTTTGAAAAATGCCGCCTGTGATATCCTGTACTGTTGCTTCAATGAACAATTTTCAATTTTTTACATCCTTATATCCTACAATATATATATATATATATATATATATATATATATATACAGGGCCGGTCCTGGGGTCCTCAGCGCCCGCATGCAAGATTTGTTCTAGCGCCCCCCCCTCCCTCCCAATAATTTTAAATGTTTTAACATTTATCATTAAAATTATATGAATATTTACACACAAAAAATTGGAAATAATCTAAAAGCGTATGAAATACATTGATTTTAATTTTATTAAGAAAATCGAAGCGATTTGCGAGTTGACCATAATTAAATATTTTATATTTTCAAGTATTTCTAACATGTATGTAATTTAATATTTGGGGTTTGAAACACTTCACTTATTTCATTATTTTCAAACATAACATTCATTTTCATGTTAGATTTTTAAAATTTGCTTCAATAACTTATTGATATCGTAAAGCCAAATTGTATTCATGTTTACTTTCCCATCTGATTCAGAATATCAGATTGTTGTTTTAAAGTTAAATTTTTAACGTATTTTAAAATATGCAAAGAAATTACATATTTCCTGAACTATATCAAGAACAAAACACAATTTGTATTTGTATCGGTATTATTTCCACCACTAGATATAAAAAAGCTCACGAGTTTGTTCCTAAGTACATTTTGCTTCCATTTTTCATATTTACTCCATAAACCTAACCAAGGATGTCTTCAAAGTTCAAAGTTAATCAGATTCGAAACATTTTCAATAAATACACAAGTTACAATTAAGTTTCTCGGTCTTATAGTCATTTTCTAAGCACTGACTTCCCATTTTCCACTTTTCTCTATTATAATTTGTATCTACTTTTTTTAACAAGTTCCGTTCAACCTCGCAATTTTTCATCAATAATTTAAACTTTTGTAGATTTGCGCTTACGGTATTGAACACTAGATAACTTGTTTTTCGATTCCATATTAACTTTGATCCAAGTAAAATTTAATAAGTTCATTAAATAATAAGCAGAACAATAATTTACTAATTTGCATGAGTAATTAATTGTTTCTACTATCAGCAGATATCACATTGTAAACTGAATATGCTTTCTGTTTCTACATATCCATAGTTAAGTTAGATTGTTTATTATAATCTGTTAAGTATTCTAGATTTTATATTAAAAAAAAAACGAATAATATATTATAAATTTCATTTCCGAATCTCGTTTTGGCGCCCCCTAAGGCGTGCGCCCGCATTTTTTGCATGCATCGCATGCAAGGCAGGACCGGCCCTGTATATATATATATATATATATATATATTTCTATTATCTTCTGGTACCATTTTTATCATATTTCTTATTATAATATTGTACCAATTGATTTATATTAACAACATCTAAATATATTGTTTTCAAATATTTCATTTATTATTTTACAAAACAGCAAATATATATGTATAGCAAACAAAGTTCACAGCCGGCATTTTATATTATTTATATATTATACACCATATTTGGTTACGTCTAACAAGCACAATACATTTCTCAAGGCAAGTATATTCATGTATCCAGTTTCTTTTCACATTGAATGCATTTGCAGTAGAAGTCGTTAATGATAACACAAAACGATAAATTGCTATAGAAATTAAAATAGGAAATGATACATTTTAAATATTTATTATTGTGGGATATAACATCTTTTTTATTTTATTTTATTATAATTTAGTATGTATAAAATAAAAAAATAATGTTACACAACTATATACTTTTCTATAGCAAATTTTTCACCATTCAAACATTCATTAAGCATGTTAACTAACAAAAATGCTGCATACCTAATTGTATATCAAAATTTATATATAAATTGATATATCTTCATAATAAAAAATCGAGGGTAAACTGTATTTGGCTTCGTATACATGACCATTTTTCGTTAAGGCCGCACTTAAGACCATTTAAGGCTGTTAGTAATGTTAATTATTATTGATCGCGGCTTACTTACCAATAATCAATAATTTTTTATCATAAATATCTTAAAATTACTGTATCAATCGCATCCATAACACATGTTAAGTCTTAGAGTTATATAAAATTTTTAAATTTATAGTAAATTTAAATTGTATACATGTGTGATATGATTGAATATGCTAGCTACAAAAATCTAAATTACCTTAATTTTCATTAACTGGTCAATCTATCATCGTTTGTCACATGTTTACGATTTAGTTATGCTGAGTTCATTGATTCTCCAAAAAGCGCCAGACCAAAATTTACCCTTCATAAAAAATTTCAGACATATTAGTTTAGCCAATGTGTATATTTGCTTGACAAATATTGATAGCTGGAAATACATACATTTTAAATATTCGGAGGCAAATCCAGTGGACCCAGTCGAACATGTGCTATTACACAAATTGTAGAGTTTGTGATTTGCATACAACATTCTTGCTAATTCTTTGTGCACATATTGCAAATTAGTAAGGTATAAGATAATTGTAACACGGTGAATGAAAATGTTATTTATATGTATAAAGAGTTCTAAATAGAGTAGGGACAAGAGACAAAATAAAAGGTTACATTTAATATTATCATTAAATAAAGTAATTTAAAGTAATATACATGTAAATATTTTAGAGAATTTATCTGCGGAATAATGAAGGATTTTATTTTAAATAGTGTGCTGTAGAAAATAATCAGCGGCATAAACAGACCATGTCAGGTGTAGGAAGTTGAGATTTTTTCAGATTTCATATAAAAAAATATTAAGAAACATATATTTAAAATATATTTTGCTATATCAAATGATTAAAATTA